AAAACGAGTTGCACGGCACGTTTTTCCAGTGTTGAGGAAATTTTGTCCTTCAGTTGTCTTATCTTTCCCATAACTGGGAATCCCAATTCCAGCAGTTTATGCGCCCTTTCCAAGTATTGTGGTTAATGCGGACATGAAACCTTGTAAAAAGGTTTCAGTTTTGTTGCCAGAAAAAAGGGGAAAAACCCTATTATTATATTTTGGTACTGGCAAATGAGGTCTAATGATGATTACAGCCCTCCTTATGCGGTCCATCCCGCCCCCCCCCCCCCCCCCCCGGATGAACCTTAAAAACATCGTTTCCATATTTTTCGCTACCTGCTCACCCGGCAGGAACACATAAGCCAAGTAATTCAGTGCTGGCATGACTTCCACCTTTAAAACTAAAATCCTCCCCTCTATCATGAGGCACCTGTCTGCCCATTTGGCCAGCGTGCCCTCCACCACCCTCACCTTCTCTGCCCAATTCCGCTCTGCCGAATCCTATCGGTAAAAAACGACCCCCAGGATCCAGATCCCATCTTCCAGCAGTTTTATTTTTGGTTTGCGGCCCTCGAAAAGCCTGGGATCCCCAAAGGTCATCAACCTGCTCTTTTTTATATTCACCCTGGATCCTGATGCCCGATGGAAGAGGTTCGTGAGCTCCATAACTTCCCAGACCGAGGACACGTCTCTACAGATTGTCACTACGTCGTCCATGTACATTATCACTTCCCGTTGTTCCCCGCTTCCCGGGATATGCATTCCCCTAACCTTTGGGCTATATCTAATGGCCTGGGCGAAAGGCTCCATGCATATCAAGAACAAAACTTGGGACATAGAGCATCCTTGTCTTACCCCTGACTCTATGGGCAACTCCTCTGAGAGTACTCCATTGATCAGCAGCCTGGCCGTGAGCTCATTGTACAGCTGCCTCACCCAGCCTACCAATCGCGCCCATTCTCTCCAGCACGGCAAACAGGTTGTCGTGAGAGAGGCGATCGAATTCCTTCTCCTGATCAAGGCTCGGAGCCCTAGGGGTCCACCCCTTTCTATTGTAGTTTCTATAAACCTCCCTTATCAAGACTAGATTATCCGTAATTCGTCTGCGTGGGATCATGCATGTTCGGTCTGCCCCGAATATCTCTCCTACTACTTTCCCCAAACGTTCGGCAATAGTTCTAGGCAAGATGTTATAGTCCGAGTTCAGTAAAGAAATGGGGCGCCAGCTCCCCAGGTCATTGCGTTCCTCCTCCCCCTTATATATGAGAGCAATTACCCTCCTCCTCATGGATTCCGGCACTGGGCCATCCTCCAGAATTTCTCTGTACAAACGTAATATGTCGTGTTTAACTGTGTTCTTGGACGTAGTATAAAATTCAGCTGGAATCCCATCTGGTCCCGGTGTTTTTTGCCTGTGTTGTCCCTTCACAGCCTCTTCTAGCTCCCACATTTGAATTTGTCCATCTATTCCCCTGGGATCTGTGGTCACTTGGGTTACCTCTCCAAGGAGGGATTGCCTTACCCCGGCCTCCGACACCTCACTCCCATTTAGGTGCTTGTAATAGTCCCGCGCCAGCTCCATTATTGTTTCTGTAGTTGTCAATTTGCCCCGGTCGGGGCATACCAGCTCCCCGACTACGTAAAATGCTTTCCTATGTCTTTGAAGAAAAATGTTGTGCACTTTTCTCCTTCCTCCACCGCCTTGACCCGAGCCCCAAAAACGAGTTGTGCTGCTCGTTTATCCACTGTTGAGGTAATGTTCTCCTTTAGCTGTCCTATCTCTCTCATAACTGGAAACCCAGTTCCAAAAGTTTGTAGGCCCTTTCCAACCAGTCATTCCACCCTCTCAATTCATTCCTGATGCTCCTCCTCCTGCTCTGGGCCTGGATAAACGCCCTGACCAGGCCTTTTACCATTTCCCACCATTCCACCAGGGTGCCAAAGCAGCCCTGCAAGCTCTGCCATTCCTCGTACCTCCTGACAAAATCCCCGATCACTTTTTCATCCTTTAGTAGGCTTACATTCATTTTACAGATCCCCCTCTTCAACCTCAGGCCACCCAGGATTAAGTTTCGCGGTCATCAACTTGTGATCGGAAAAAGAAAAGGGCTCTATACCTGCACCCTCCATCTTGACTTTGGCGGAAACTAAAAGAAAATATATTCACGACTGCGATGTACCGGTGCTGCTAGACCAAGTATACCCTGGCCGAATTGGGTGCATCAATCGAAAGGTATCAGTCAGTTTGAAATCCTGAAGCAGCCCGTTCAGTTTCCTGGTGCAGGGGTCTAGTCTCCTGCTTCCACATGCCTGTATGACATCTGCCAGGCAGAGCGGGCAGTTAAAATGCCCGCTCAAGATAATGTTCCGCCGCATCACCAACAGGGCCGCCACATTATCCAACAGTTCCTCCCGCGCAGTGTACTGTGAAGGGGAGTATATGTTAATCAAGCGGAGTTCCGTGCCATCGTATGAAACGTCAACGTAGTGGAGTCGGCCGGGGACCACATCTTGGGTCTCCTGTATCTCCACCTTTTGGCTGCCTAGGAGTATGATGACACCGGTGTTCTTATTAGCATTACTCCCTGACCAAAAGTAACGGCCATCCCAGGGCTCTATCAATTCCGCCCGGCCGAGAGAATACGGCAGATGGCATTATTGCAGGAATATTACGTCCTTTTTCATGGTTTGCAAGTATTGTATAACTGCCATTCGTCTGGCCCTGCACCAGATCCCCTTCACGATCACCGACGCCACCATAAGATCCATGCTCTGTGGCGTCTAATCTGACTCCGACACCTTCTCCAGTACTTGGTAACAGTTTTTTTTTCCCCAACGTCGGGCAATTGTCCCATGTCCCCCAACTTCGGAGGGGTTTCTCTTCCTTGTCCCACCTTTGCCACTGCCATGTCCGGCAAAAAGCCAGCCGGTTCTGGACCACGCGCGGGAGTAGATCTCCTTGGGGGCCTCGATGCCCTCCACTTTCTTTTCATCACCCTCTCAAAAGTCCCACTCCCATCCTCCATCACCTGCCGCTCCTTCCCGCCCTCCTCTGCCCAGTCGGCCATGGTAGGTCCAGGGGCCTTCTCCACCTCCTCATCATTTACGTGGCCTTCTGGCTGCTGGCTCGTGGGTGTTATCTCTTCCTCCGTTGACATTTCCCCCTCCCCCTTCTCATCCTGCAATGGCGTTCCCTGCTTGGCCACCCCTCCGCCCCCCGCCATCCATCGCCTGACTGGTCGGTGCTTGTTGCGGCTCCGTCACAGTCACCTCTCCCTCGCTGCCCTCCATCTCTCGATCCGTGTGCGCCTGGGCCATGTTCGCGTAGGACTCTGGGCAGTCTCTATATAAATGATCCCCACTGCATAAAGGTTGCACCGTACCAGGGCATTGCAGTCATCCACGACGTGATCCTGCACCTTGCAGCGATAACAAACCGTGGCTTCACATGCCACGGCTAGGTGTCCCCTGCATCCACATCTCCTACAGCGCTTGGGCTGCCCCGCGTAGACCAAAGAGCCTCTACTGCCTCCAATATTCAAGGCGTTTGGGATGTGCCGAAGGGCCCCTTCCACCGTTCTTAGTCTCACCTGCCACTGTCTGGCGCCAGTCCAAATACCCAGTGAGTCCTGGAGCCGTTTGCACTCCGACAGACTTCCACATTGTGATCCGGCAGAGCCTCATTGTACAAAAACAGGTTGCTTGTCCTGAAACTGATATCAAAGGCGCGGCCGCCTGGCAAGGCTATCAGACAGAACAAGTCCTTAGGGTCCACCTGTCATATCCAGACCACCACAGTCCTCACAAAACTCGCGCGGCCGATAGTGACATCGTCTGGCATATCCTCTTTGAATGCCATTCGGACACAATTGTGTCTCTTTCCGTGGACCGGTGCGAAATTCACACTGGTTCTCCCGCGCCACCACCCTGCGGGTACCTGGGGTCTTCCTGTGCCCACAGATCAGGGCTTTCCCTTATCAGTCACGCTCCGGGCGCCATGTGCCTGCTGGCCTGCAAGGTCCACCTTTCCCTCTGCCTCCCCACTCAGGCTGGCGGGGGCCACCTCCCTCTGCGCTGGTACCTCTGCTCTTCTTGTCCATTGCCTCCAAGCGTCCTCCCAATCCCGCATCCTCCCGTCTGAGGTTGAAGCTTTCGCCGTATCGCCCTCCTGCACTGACCTCCATCCTCCTGGTTGACGAGTCGCGACCATTTCCACCTCAGCAGTCGTCGACGGGGGTTGATCGCCCTTGCTCGTCTCGGCAGCTTGGCTGATCTCCATGCCAGTTGGAAAAGCAGCCGCTGGCCTGACAGCCAGGGTGCCTGCTCGGGGCAAGGGAGAGAAAACCTATCACAACGATGACGAGGCTCGGCAAGGTCCACTCCAGAGCACAGCAGCCCCAACTGTGAGTCGGAGCTCGCCTTATATCCTGCCCAGCGTGGTCAGGCTCTGCCCTCGGCCCCGTACTCATTTGGATCCCCTAGAGAGATCCGTGCCTTGCCCACAGGTGCAACAAGTAGAACGGGCTGTTATTCCTAAGTCTACCAATCTCTCAGCGGCACACGCTACAGTAACTCATTCAATGCCACTACACATACATACAACCACCATCTACCTAGAATAAAAAAGGTTTCCTAGGAATACATAAATAAAACAAATATTTGACAGAGGAACATAGGATGCATGAAGCCAGTAGTTAAAATATTATTTGACAAAGGTTGAAAACGATTACATGAGAATGTTTGTTCAAGGTGCAGTTCCACTGTGGCAATGCACACAGCCTGACCCTTGCCGTTCAATTAGCCTGTAGGCCAAACCATTATGGCTTTCTCCCTGGCTGCTATTGATGGGTGTTTTTGTACATAACACAGTGCGTGACTGTAACGCCACGTCTACACAGGTGACCCCGGCGCGTTATGGAACATTCCAGGGCGTGTCTCATAGTATTTATAACTTAACTGCAGGTGAAGTCAGTTCATTCCCCTGCTCGCCTCCGCCCTGTGAGTTGTGCACAGAACACATCTCGTCAATGATATTCAACATATCAAGAGATTATAAATGTAAAAGTATTTTTGTTAAAATATGTTTCTGAGCGACAAGGCGTGACTAACTTCGGGTGCATCCTCGGGTCATGGCGAGTGCAACTCCCGCTGAGAACGTGGACCGTGAGTTGACCTGCACCATCTGCCTGGGCACGTTTGACTGCCCCTCCACGCTGAGCTGCGGCCACTCGTTCTGCCTCCAGTGCCTGGAGGACGCTTGGAAGGAGACAGACTTGTACTGCTGCCCGCAGTGCCGCAAGACCTTCCCTCGACGACCCCAGCTGACCAGGAACGTGACGATCGCCAACCTCATAGAGCAGCTGCGAGTGACTGAGACCATGGTTGCTGCTTCTGCTGCTGGTGTTGTTTTTTGTGATAACTGCCCAGAAGGAAATACGCCTGCAGTGAAGACCTGCCTCAGGTGCGACACGTCCTTCTGCACGGAGCATCTTGTGCCTCACCTGAAGAAGAAAAAGTTTAATGACCACGTCCTGGTTTCACCAGATGTGAACCCTGAAGCACGCAAGTGCAAGAGGCACAAAGAGGAGCTCAAGTTCTACTGCAAGCAAGACGTCAGCCTCGTGTGCAGGGACTGCACCATCGCAGGTGACCACACGGGTCATACATTCATCCCACTGGAGGATGAGCATCGGACACGGAAGGTGAGGCCCGCGTGGGTTGAGTGGGAGCCACTCAGGAGCGAACAATACCATGAACCTAGCCGATTAAATAAAAACCATCAGGATGGGATGATTCTCTCTCCATTGTCTTTTCCTTTAAAGCCGACTTCATTGGACTCTTTTCTGGTGAGCATCTTAAAACGGTCACTGTGGAGGGCTCCGTGTGGAGTTGAGCTGAGAGGGAGCCACTTAGGAAGTTGAGTCTCCTCTGGTGACTTTGTCTCTTACAGAGTGGAGTTGGAGAAGAGAAGCAAGCGGTGGAAGAGAAGAGGAAGAAGGCGGAGGCGTTCATGGGACGGATGGAGGCAGCTCGCAAGGACGTGCAGGTACCGCGCATGGACTCTGACCCCGTTACCTGCACCCTGCAATGAGTCTGCGACCTTTGCTTTGAGGACAACTCCGTAGTTTCATTGAACTCTGTTAGTCTTGTGTCAATGTGTAATGACTGTGCAGGATATCACATTAATATGCCTATGGGTGCTTGAAATGTACTGTATTCTTTTCTTAATGCAACGTTTATGTAAGAAAAAAAAGTTAATATCTCGTGAGACTGGAAAGCATTTCGCAGGATAACTCGAATCACTTGCTATGGGTGAGATTAAATAACACAGTATGGAGCAACGACTGTATTGAATTATAAACTATAAATTAAACGAGTGAAGATGACAATTAAATACGATAGGAAATCGTCTGTTGAATGCTTGAATAAACACGAGATGCGACTTCAAAATGGTACAAGGAATGCAGGAAAACACAGTTGCTCTCATGACACGCACCCAACTCGAAAGTAGACACAATGTAGAGTCAATGATTACTTAAAACGTAATGTATTGGTGGCGTAAATTTTATGGTAAAGATATTTAATTAATTGCGTCTACTTTTGATATTTCTTCAAAATATTAGTATGATCCTGTGTGTGTTGTCGCATGCATAAGTATCCATTGTATCGCAAATCCTGCTGTAAAATAGGACATCAATTCAGCTGGTGATATTTATAGTTTACCGAAAATAACACGTTGTGGAGAACATAAGTACAAGGGGTTCCCAATATACGTTTCCTCAATGTACGTTGTTTTGCACTCATGTCACTTTGTGAGGAACTCAACGTGAAATGTCTCACACACACGTCGTTATGGCGTTTTCGACTCAGTTCAGCTAAGTTCTTTACAACTTGTAAAACGTACTGTACAACGAGTATTTTGCGCATACGCCGCCGTCTTTTCAATCCCACTTTAGTGCTCCTTGTAATAGGCGTGGACTTTCTCTCAAAATATTGTCGCAACCCTTCAACAATGAGTAGCAAGCCTAGTGCTAGTGGCAGTGCAAGTGACAGTGCAGGTTGGAAACGTAAGAAAAATCGCAGTTATATTTTGCTCGATGTCAAAATGGAAGTGATAAAGCGTGGTAGAAAAGGTGGACTTACGATTGATATTGGGCGCCATTTGAATCTTCCTCCAACGAGTGAACATACGATAGTGAAGAATGCTGATACAATTTAAAGTAAAGCTAGGCATATTTTAAAGCACTCGGATGTTAAAAATCACATGGCAATGCAGTGTTAGGTAAAAACATGGAACGATTGCTGGCGTTATGGGTCGAGAATCCTCACAACAAGAACACACCGATCAGCTTTGCCTTCATTCAGGAGAAGGCCCTAAGCTTGTATGAGGACCTGAAAAAGGAGTTGGGAGAAGAAGAAGCAGTGAAAGAAAAATCATTCAAGGTCGCCCGTGGATGGTTTTACAGATTTTAGGCACAATACAGTTTTAAGGACGTGAAATATGGGAAGAGTCAGCCAGTGCCAATAATTAAAGAAGGTACGGATATGATCCTAGACAGGTGTTTAATCCTCTCAGAATACCTCTAATAAAGCACAACTCATCGACTCGCCAAGGTAAGATGAGTGAAGGTAATGTGGGGGCCAACGTCCACCCCACCGCCTTCGCGAGGCAGTGTGGGGCACGACGTCCGCCCCTTCCACTTCCTTCTCCACCACGTCAGTCGGCTCCCACTGGGCCCCCGCCAACCGAGTGATCGGGCCCCTAGTGCTAGCACCCTCTCTGAGGAACATACTCGTGCTGCTGGCTCACAGCCACACGGAGTTAAGCCACACACTCGCGTACACCACAGCTTACACTAACACAGCATGCAGCGGCACGCTCGCGCCCACACCTGCGAACGATTACCTCAACGCGCGCCCGTGCTGCGGCTCCACGTTCACCCTCGCAACGCATTTCCCCACACAGGCGCTCCACACGTAAATCACAGACACCACACCGATGCTAAATGCTAACTTTTATTCACGGTGCAAACCCCGCATTGCCCGGAGGTAATATTCTGCGATCAGAGCCTAGCCTATGGCTGCCCAAGTCCCCAAATACTCACGTGCCCTATCACGTACCTCGCGGCTGTACTCACGGCATCACATGTATGCTGTGATAGTCAAAGGGAGAAGGAGGAATGATAACCCTCTTCTTGGTTCTTTCAGTAAAGTCACGTAGAAGGGAAGTAATAAAATAATAAAAATAAAACATAATAAAATAATTCTCACGACGTTTCGGCCACAACACAAGCAGCCATCCTCAGGTGAAGACCAGGTCTGTCGAGGCGACAGCGTCTAAAAGAAAACACCACCACGCTTGGAGCGTCTATTTAAGTTGGTTTGGAAGGGGGGGGGGGGGGAATGCGCATTAGCAAAATAATCTGCATATCAAGAAGAATTTAGCATATTTATGGGAAATGCAGGAATGTGATTGGTGCTATTTGTGAAGAATGATAACTTTACCTATCACTGCCTCGTAGCAGCACTCGCTGGCGTCGCACAGATGCTGCAAGTGGCGTGAGAAGGCAGGACGGTAGGGAGTGGGTCTTGGCGGCCAAGAGGTTGAAGACGAGATCTGATCTGAACGGTCCCAGGCGCCTCTTTTTGTCCCCCCTGACTTCAAAAGCCCAGGGTCACGTCATCCCGCGCGGCCAATCGTGTGCCTACCTGTGATTTTCACTCGTTTTTTCTTCCCTTACATGGAGCACCACGACGGTTACTTCTGTGACCCATGGTCTATCCATCCGTACTCATTCATTTTTTACTCATCCCCGTTAATTTGGAAATACGTCCGGCTGGCAAATACACCCCTGCTAGTGTGTATTCGGTCTGGGTCCGGGGGAGGTCGTAGCGCTGCGATCCCCTGAACTCATGGTCTGGTTTGCTCGCTTAATATTCCACCCCGCCCCTCCCGTTGTCGTTCATGACTCATTGCGGCTGGCCCAGTGAATCTTTTTTTTGCGCCCATACAATTTTACGCCAACTCAGGGGCACCGCAATGTGACCTGTCCAGCAACGGTCGGCCAATCTCCTGGCACCAGGAAACCGTGGGACTTTTCTCCTAGGGACTCTTCGAATTAAAACCCATTGTGCCAGGCAATCCCCCGCAAGTACACAATGTGTGTATGCTGAGTGTGTGTGCTCAGTGTGGGAGCCAGGGAGTAGTTGCGGCGCTTGCGGAGTTGCTCCGCAGTCGTGGCACCACAGTAACATCTTTTTAAATGCTGTTTAAGAGTATGTGCTTTTTTACACTACAAATGGTTTTCTGTTTGAGTTTTTGTTTTAAAATGTCGTAGCCATGTTTATTGGAACTAGCCTTCCACTCCGATTTAGGTCGACTTATCCTTAAAATTGATTCCTGCAGCAGCATGCAATGACAGCCACTGGAAAGACAAAGGCGGTCGGGGGGGGCTCTGGTTATACCCCTGCAATACATATTATTTTGGTCGTGGAGAATTTACATAATTCATATACCTACTAGAATCACCCAGGAATGTCCTGAACGCTCGTGATGTCACTCCACATCGACCAGCCCCCCTCATTAATATGCATGAGCAGGTGACGTCCTCTAAATGGACACCCCCCAACCCCTCCTCGTTAATAATCATGAACGGGTGACGTGACTCAATATGGATTAGTCCCCTCCCCCCTCACTAATAATCATGAGCAAGTGACGTCACTCCACTTCGGACAGCCCCCGTTAATCATTAGCAGGTGACGACCTCCAAATGGACCCCCCCCCCATTATTATTAGCTACTACAATGAGCAAAGAATGTCTGTGTGCAACGCTCGTGACGTCACTCTACGTCGACCAGCCCCCCTCATGAATAATCATGAGCAGGTGACATCACTCCACATCGAACAGCCCCCCTAATTAAAAATCATTAACAGGTGACGTCCTCCAAATGGACACCCCCCCCCATTCATAATAATTAGCGGGTGACGTCACTCCACATGGGGGGCCGCGGCACCTCCTCACCCCTCCTCGGCATCAACTTATAACCCTCACTACAAAGGCAGAACCCTCACGTCACGCGATCTCCGTAACGCTGTTGAGACGTCGAAGTAAAAAGGATGTCATGATGAACAAGGGATTATAACCTTTAAAAAAAAAGGTCTGTGTCACCGCGCCCTGACACATTGCACACGAATTGATGCAATGGATATCACGTTGCGGTCTTCTTTTCGCTTTAAAGTTTCAGATTTACTACAATACACCCGTCCTTGGACCGGCAAAAGGCTAGTTCAACTTACATAATTCGTTAGCAAGTTTGTATGCTGAACCAATAAATCATGGCACTTATGTATGGATAAGTGCATGTTAATAAAAACATGCAACTAGTCATATTCGAAAAACCCTGACTCTGTGCTGTATTAATAGTTAACTGTAATTAGATGAAGTTTAAGAATATTCATATGCAGTGGTTGGAATTTGAACGTTTCAACTTTCCAGGCATCAGGGTTTGTTTAATTAAGAGAGTGAAATGGCAAGGGACATTTTACTCTTAGGTTTTTTTCGGTAAAGTCACGTAGGGAAAAATAAATAATAAAATAAATAATGAAAACTATAGAAATGAAATAATAAATAACGACGTTTCGGAGGCAACACAAGTCTCCGTCATCAGGTGGGACCGTCACAGCTAAAATGTATTGTATAAAGTGAGGCAAAATTCCAAGAGACAAGCTCTTAAATACAAGTGTAATGCGGGCGTAAACGGCCCTCCGGAGGTGCCGTCATGAGGGGAGGAGTTAGGTCACGTGGGGGGAGAGGGGTTGAGCTATAGAAGGAGGGGAACCGGAAGAGGATAGGGAGTGATGGGGAACCAGGAACAGAGAGAGGCCACGAAGGGCGAAGCGGAGGGTGGCGAGATCGCCACGAACACGGGGGAGCGAGGATTGGCACCGTTGGCCAGCGGTGACCGACCCGAAGCAGCGAGGAGGCTGCAGCCAGCAGCGGGGCTGCACAGAGAGTCAGCAGCGGGGCTGCATACAGAGTCAGCAGCGGGTCTGCATACAGTAGCAGCCAGAGGGTCTGCACATAGGGGTGGCAGCGAGAGTCTGCATAGGGGTAGCAGCGAGTCTGCAGGGAGGGGGTTACGGTAGATGAAGCAGAGAGTCTGCGGGAAGAGAAAGGAAGCTATAATAGAGTCAACAGCCGGGGGCTATAAATACAGAGTTATAACAGAGTGCCGTGTGGGAGAAGACAAGAACCCAATAAAGGACACGAAGACAGAAAAAAGTGTCTGAGTCCTTTTATTACACAAGTTAAGGGGGGAGGGGGATGGGCTTATCTGAATGTGGTAGCCAGTGAATGGAACGTGTTGGGGGGGGTGGGCGGGGCTAAAAGAGAACAATCAGTGTACCTCGACTTTGGGTTGTAACCGGTGTTGGCTGACAATCCAAATACAAAAAAGGCAGTACTGTTAAACGCTGGGGATGTCAACACTCGGTAAAGTAGAATAGTACCTGTCAAATAAGATGGTACAAATGTGTAGTTAAATATGTTTTACATGGTTAATAAGATCTTTGCAATGATTACTCAGTTTGGACCCATCATCACGGTTGAAGTTATGTCTGTGTTTGTATATCTGGATGGCTTCGTGTACAAACCTTTGATGGTAGCCAGAAGGTTTGCAGAGCACGCTGGTCTCGGAAAAGACAATATCATGAGAGCCCACAGCGTTGTAGCAATGTTCGGCAATGGCGGAACACTCAATTTTGCCGTGTTTCAGATCTAACTCGTGCTCGCGGAGACGATCGGAGATATGACGTTTCGTTTCCCCAATGTAACAATCACCACAGCTGCAACTCAGTTTATAGACTCCAGGGTATTGCAAGTCAGGAATTACATATTTTACAGATGGGATTAGATCATGGATTTTATGTACTGTACTGAATCGGACTTAGATCTTATGTTTGTTTAGAATTTTGGATATCTTTTTGGTCACGCCTGCTATGTATGGCAACGTGATAATTTTGATCGGAGTTTCAAGTGGTTGTTTCTGTATGGTGGGAGAAACAGCTTAGCGGATCGTGCGGTCAGAATATCCATTCATCTTGAGGGCCCGATGTACATGTTTTAATTCACTGGCCAGGTGGTGTTGGTCAGAAATGCCATGAGCTCTGTGGTATAGTGTTTTGATGAGAGAATTATTTTGAGCCGGGTGGTGGTGGGAATCAGGTTTCAAGTAGTAATCTGTGTGGGTGGCTTTCCTGTAGACAGAATGTCCTAAGGTTCCATCAGGTCACCTCTCAAACAGAACATCTAACAAGTAAACCCGTAAAAACAAAGTTTTTCATTCTAAATCCTTTATATGCGTGGCGGCTAGAGTCCTCTCGTCTTCTGGCTTGAGATGGCTGCAATCTATGGGTCAGATGATTGTCTGCCAGTATTAAGCAATTGGTAATTAAATATTTAATTTGTTTTCCCTAAACAGTGCAAAATTTTGGAAAAAACATTTCACGAAAATTAATTGTCACACACAACGAGTCTGTGTAGAAAATGTCAGCTCGATTGGATCACGGGAAGTGGGTTAAAAAACGAGCGAAAGATTTGCACGGTCCTAAGCAAGCAAGCGAACTTAATATAAAGGATTTAAAATGTATTCGCCTGTGGAGGACGCGGGGATCGATCCCGCGACCTTTGGCATGGGAAGCGAGGGCACTACCAACTGCGCTACTCCGCCACGGCCTGTGGAGGGGTTACGCTCTGGGCTCCTATACTGTGACGTTCAGCCAAAGCCATGAATGAGTTCTATTTGAATAAATGTAAAAATTAACCCGTAAAAACAACGTTTTTCACAATAAATCCTTTATATGCGTGGCGGCTAGAGTCCTCTCGTCCTCTGGCTTGAGATGGCTGCCACCTATGGGTCAGATGATTGTCTGCAGTATTAAACAATTGGTAATTAAATATTTAATTTGTTTTCCCTAAACAGTGTAAAATTTTGGAAACAAAATTTCACGAACATTAATTGTCTCGCACAACGAGTCTGTGTGCAAAATGTCAGCTCGATTGGATCACGGGAAGTGGGTTAAAAAACGACCGAAAGGTTTGCACGGTCGTAAGCAAGCACGCAAGCAAGCGAACTTAATATAAAGGATTTAACAAGTATAACCCATAAAAACAAAGTTTTTCACTATAAATCCTTTATATGCGTGGCGGCTAGAGTCCTCTCGTCCTCTGGCTTGAGATGGCTGCCACCTATGGGTCAGATGATTGCATGGCAGCATTAAGCAATTGGTAATTAAATATAATATTTTTGTCCTAAAAAGTGTAAAATTTAGGAAAAATTTTTCACGAACATTAATTGTCACGCACAACGAGTCTGTGTGGAAAATGTCAGCTCGATTGGATCACGGGAAGTGGGTTAAAAAACGACCGAAAGATTTGCATGGTCCTAAGCAAGCAAGCAAGCGAACTTAATATAAAGGATTTAAAAATGGTAGTTTGCCATCATTCTCCACTTCCATGGTGAATCAAATGCAGGCAAATCGTCTTCTCTCGTGGATGATGTCTTAATTTATGTTAGTTTATCCAATACATCCAGTTCAGATAGGACACTAAAGAAGAAATATGGACGATGACTTTCAAGACAACATTTTAAGATTGATGTATGAAGAGGAAGAAATGAGTTATGTGAACAGTGGTGTATTAAAATAAATTTTACTCTGATGTGTTTTGTCAAATATATAGTTCCTGCTGATCCAAAATTAGAATTAAATCCATTGGCAATGTCTTGTTTTGTGAACAGTTCTTTGCCATCCAATGCAGAGTTTTTGGAAGAATATTTATCTTTCCTATAGTTTTGTGGTGGTAAGAAAATTTTGTGTTTCTTACTTTGTGAGTACATTTATACCCTTATTTTTCTAGAGTTAATCCAAGTAGAGAGGGTTTTTGGACGTTTCTTTTTATTCGAGGCAACATCTCTAGTTTTCATGAATTCGGAAATGTTCGGATCAAACCAAGGTGGTTTGATCATTAATCATAATGATAATCACGGCTCATGGAAAATGTTATATTATCTCATATTTATAGAGTGCGCTATCTCAAGGCGCTTTATATATTTCAAAAAACGGTAACAAAAATAAAGTTAGAGGACAGGGGCATGCAAGGGCCAAGAAATCCGTGACCGTAACAGAGGGCACATAGGGGTCACAAAAGGGCAGGGGAGGGATGGGAAGAAATGGAGGGGCGAGGGGAGAGAAAGGGAATGGGTGAGCTTTGAGAGACGAACGAGGATAAGGAGGGAGATTTCTTAATGTAGAGGGGAACGGGGAATAATTAGAATTGGCGCGTCTCGACAGGGATCTTTGACTGGGGTGAAGGAGCGAATCAAAGCCCAGTTCTCCCGCCTGAGAACAGCACTGGATGAGGACGAGACAACGGCTTTACATCGCGCGGAACTGAAGGAGAAGGAGCTGCTGTCCCAGATCGACGAGAACATCGCTCATTACAAGCACGAGATCAGCGAGCTGCAGGCAGCAGCCGCGCGCCTGCACTCTCTGCAGAAGGAGGGGGACTCGCTCACGTTCCTGCAGGTAGAGCGCTCGCGAAGCCAGGGCGAGTGCCCCAGATTGACAGAGCCCTCAGCAGTAGAGAAACTGTTGGTTCAAGAGTTCAGATGCTTGGAACTTGACCACGATAGTGGCTGCATTTTAAAATCCACTATCTATCTAAATGAATAATTTCTCTTGTCGCATTGCCTGCAGATAATTCCACATGTTACCGTGAAGATGAAATTCAAATTAAGTTGAATTTTAAATCCTGATGTTATGCTATTTAATCGACTATTTTCTAAACAGTTGCTCTGTTGCTGTCAGGTGTTTGATACCTATTCTCAAGCACCTTTAATGTACACACTTGAATTGCCTCTGCAGAAATAAAAATTTCTCATCATTTTGAGAGGCTGTTTCAAGCCATGGGAAATTAGCACTGCCCAAGGCTGAAGGGGACTCAAACCCTGGCTAAACGGTTGAGATGCTCAGCTCTTGAGAATATCGCGTCACTTTTTAACCAAGGATAAAAAACCAAGAGTATGGATCCTTGCAGTCACGAAAACTTCAAATCAAGGATATGGTTTTGGCCTTCACGGGGTCATTAGCCAAGACGTGGGATTCATATTCCGGTCATGGAGATCGCAGAGGGAACTCGAGCGATGCCTTGAGAGTGAATGGAGGCAGCATCACGTGACGCTTCTCTCTGTATCCCACAGGGACACCTGGAGGAGGCGCGCAGGTACAGACACTCAACCATCACAGAGCAGCACCACAAGGCGGTGCAGTGTGGGAGCCTTGAGCTGTGTGCTTTTATTTGACTTGATTTAATTTTACTTGCATAGTGATTTAAATCACTGTTGTATAAATTTAAGTTAACGTCAGGTGGTTCTGATGTAACTGTACGTTTGAATTACTTTAAACGATGCTATCCCAGCTAATTTCTTTACAACTGCTTTCTGTTTAGGTTGTTGTCATTAACCCGCACCATCGATTATCATGGTTGGCTAAGTTCGGTGCGAAATAAGCTAACTATACACACATACATATGTGAGTGATGATGCTCTTTGTGATAACATGGACCATTTGCTGTGTGTACTGGTGATGTCTGTGATAATAATCTGTATGTGGAAAATCGGATGTTTATATTGAGCCTATGTTACAAACTGGATGTTTGTGGCCATGCTAATGTTGCGTAAATAGATGGCTAAGTATTGCATAGGGGCTATGTATGGGGCATAATCTGTGAGTGGGACAGAGGATCCATTTAATGATGCTGCATTTTAAACGTTGTCTGCATGTGGTGATACTGTGTGTGTGTGGTGATGCTGCGTGTGTGTAGTGATGCTGTGTATGTGTGGTGATGCTGTGTGTGTGGTGATGCTATTCGTTTTTTTCTAATCGTTGTCACAGGGGAAAAGTTCCCAAGAAGTCTCTGCCCCCAGCTCTGACTCCACTGGACACCCCCACGATCCGCTCCCTTGAGAGAATCATGGGCAGACTGCTCCCTCTCGTCTGTGAGTTCATCACTCCTGCCCCAGTGTGGAGGGGAGGCCTTGTCTATTGAAACAACGGATTCCAGTCTCCAGATACTAGGGTTCAGGGTTCAATCCCCAGTTCTAACTCCTACTCAGAAGAGTCATTGTCCTCATGTGCTGTGAGTCTAGCCTTAGCTTAGTCTCCGAACGTTGCACAACAAACGCAACCCTCCATTGCTAAAAGCACTTAGTTCACTCTCACCCAGGAGCGAGGGCATCAAAATATGGATAAGTGTAAAGGCCTGAGACTCACATAAAGTCTCGTTTTAGAATGTCAGGATTCATTATTCCTGTTCGAGGCTGTTACATTTAGGCTCGAGCAACTTTTATAATTCGTAGGGTTCAGTATCGATATCCCAGCCTCAGGTGATCATTTATATTACTCTGCATACCATAAGACATGCTAATACACAGGTAGTGTATTATCTAGATGTTAATGTATAGCGCACAAATGAGTGTAAATCGCTCCTACAGTGCTTTATTAATACTACACCTGTATGTTGAACTTATTTCCCACTGCACGTAGCGAACCGTGCTAATTGGAGGTGCTAGTATATGATTATTGAGTGAGAATGTCATTGGCCAAATTAACTATTGTTGCAGATTAATATATTAACAGAGGTTTCTCGGTGATAGATGTCATCATCAGACGAGAGTCAGACTACATCACCGTTGTGATGCAAATGGTTTCATTGTTAATGCATGAGGTTCATAGCCAGACTAACTCAGCATTAGGATTCTCAGAATTCATCAAAAATGCTTGAAACTGCTATATCCCTGCCAATGCACATGAAAGATTATTGGGATTCAGTGATAATACCCGAGGCTCACAGACCAAGAATGGGGTATAACTGTGGATGACCATGTGTATCACTGTACATATGTAATGAGTTCCAGAGACACTTTGAAGAGACAAATTCTTTATTCAAACACACCACGTAAACAGCACTGATACAGCCTAGAGACACCGCCCACTTCTAGCGTGCCTGACACTGGCTACGCTCTCGGGTCCTCCGGCTATGATTACCCTAGGGGAGGCTACCTGACCTGACCCAGCCAAGGTGCGGGTCTAGACTCTGGCTTCCTCGGACCTCCCCCTTACAAGGGCGTAGAGCCGGGAGTTCCAGAGTCCCACCACTGGCCCACACAGCGTCCCGGCCCTTACAAGGACAATGGGGCGAGGGGGTCCAGGGTCCTAAGCTGGCTGGTCTTGGTTCTTCAGCTACATAGACCACAATACCTGCAGTCATAATGCAAACAAAAACATAACTCTCATACTCTGATGGTGCATTGTCTTTGAGTTGTGCGCCTTTTGGCGTCATCTGGTCCAACCCATGTGAGACTAGGCTCTAAGGAAAGCTGTCTCGGGTGTGGACCAATCAACTTCAAGGACAGTGCACATTATCAGAGTTATGTATTTTGTTTGTATTATGACTGCAGGTATTGCGGTCTATGCAAACATGACTCCTTGTAAAAAGGTGTCAGTTATGTTGCCAGATAGAAGGGTAAAACACCAATTATCAGCTTTGTAGACGTTGACCTTCGTGTCTCTTTTAAGGTTGCTGTTGTTCCAGACACGTTTGTATAGTCTGCTGAATGCACTGTTTGCCTTGGCCAGCCTGTTGTCGACTTCGTTGTTGATCTTGGCGTCAGACGAGATCACGCACCCCAAGTAGTTGAACTGGTGGACAGCTTTCAGTTCTGTATTGTAATACCTCTACGTTAATATACAGCCCACACACGAGTCTAAAGGAGTATTACATGAGCTCTATTAACCATACACCTGTATATTATTGAATGTGGATGCTGTTGCTATTCTGCGTGTGTGTGTGTAAGTGTTTTACACAGAGACGCTATGGCTGAAATTCTTATGATTCAGTATTAGTACTTGAGGCTACGATATCCAGACTCAGACACAGTTAGGATTCATAGGGTTCAGTGTTAATGCCTTAGGCTCTCAGAATCAAAGGCACATTTAGGATTCTGTGCTAATATTAAGAGTTTTATCAAACAGCTAGCCAAGGGCTTGACCTTGGTTGACCGTGTAAATCACTATATAGGCAAAAAGTTAAATTGTTATGGAACATGTATCAATATACCTACACAATATATAGTACACACACACAGATGAGTGTAAATCACTTTTCCATTATCTCTATTAACACTACACGTGTGTATGATTGAATGAGGATGCTATTAATTTGGGTAAGATTTTTAGGATTTATTATTGGTACATGAGGCAGCGAGATACAGACACCTTGAGTATTCTTAGGGTTCAGTGTTACAACCTGAAGATCTCAGAATCAAAGGCAACTTTAGGTTTTATTTGACAGCCAGATCAAGGCATAACCTGAGTTGCCCATGTAAATCACTACACAGTCAACAACAAAAAGTTACTTACAAAACAACGCGTATCAATATATACCGATTAATTTATATACACAACGATCACTCATATAACCTGAATAGACTAGTGGGCAAGTGCTGTTAGCGAGTATCTATTAAGGCCGGCACGGCACACGAGGGGGTGGGTGGCCAGCACTACGCCCGGCCCCCTATATCTCCAAAGTGGCGATGCTTACACATTGTCCCGGGTATGTATTCATTTGTGGCTGAGTCGACCTGGGGGGCCCAGGACCGATTCAGATAATCCATCCTTGGTATTGGCCGTGAGCGGACATCAAATTTGTGTTGCATGCTAAGCACTCCAATACTATTATGTGGTTCTTTCGGTAAAAGTCACGTAATTAGAAAAATGAAGGGAATATAAATATAAATAAACAAATAACTACAACACTAATGGAGAATGTAGCCTGGTTCTTTATCGGAGCGAGTGTACTGGCAGTCTGTAATGTAAACTGTAACCTGGTTTTAAAACTTGGTGAGCATATTGGCATTCTATAATGTAGATTGTAGCAATAGTTATTCAACTGAGTGAGCATACTGACAGTCCATAATGTAGACTGTAGTCTGGTTCTTAACCTGAGTGAGCATACTAGCAGTCTATAATGTAGACTTATTCTTGGTTCTTTCAGAAATACGAATATAGTTTAAAAAACCATGACGTTTCCATCATAACACAAGCGATCGTCTTCAGGAGGGAAGAGAGGGAAGATCACCAAAAGCAACCATTTATAAAGGTTTCAAAAATGGGCGTGGCACAAGCGCTCCAGCAGCACAACGAAGTGGACGGGGGATATGTGCCCTGGGGTAAGATACCAAAAAAACGACACAAATCAAATCATGACTTGGCCTGTGCTCCCTTGACAAAAAAAACACAAATCAAGTCATGACCCAATGTGGTTGATGACATCTTTCCAATGATTGCTGAGATTATAACCATCCTCTCGGTTGAAATTGTGTCTGTCTCTATATATGGATGGCTTCATGAACGAGTCTTTGTTGATAGCCAGTGGGCTTGCAAAGTGCCATCATCTTAGAGAAATCATTTCGCGTGAGCCAGCCGCATTATAATAACGATTAGCTACGGCAGAAGTATTGGTCCTACCGTGTTTCAAATCTACCTCATGCTCACGAACACGGTCTGAGACATGTCGCTTAGTTTCCCCAATGTAACTGCTGCTGCAGATACAGCTTAGTTTGTAAACGCCGTGATATTGCATGTCAGGAATCTTGTCCTTCGCAGATGGGATCAGATCACAAATTTTATGTACTGTGTTAAATCGGACCTGGATCTTGTGTTTGTTCATGATTTTGGAAATCTTTTTGTTTACCCCTATGTATGGCAAGGTGATAGTTTTGATTGGATCCTCAGATGGCTCCTTCCTCACGGTTGGGGTGATGGCTTTGCTGATTGTATAGTCAGAATATCCATTCGCCTTGAGAGTTTGGTGTACGTGTTTGAGTTCACTGCTCCCCATGACCATTTATAAGTGTTTATGTTTAGAGCATAAACACTTATACACCATTAGAGCGAGACCAGCTGCACTTGGCCCGCGATTGGAAAATGCTTGCTGACATTGGCCGGCAACTTGTGTTTCCTTCGGAGATCGCAACCACCACCCTAAGACCTGACATGGTGCTCTGGTCCCGTTCGCTCAAGAAGGTCTTCATCATTGAGCTCACAGTACCCTGGGAGGACTCAGTAGATGAGGCTTATGAGCGAAAACATCTGCGCTATGCCGATCTAGCTGCCGAAGCACGGCATCATGGCTGGAACACAGAAGTCAGACCAGTGGAGGTGGGCTGCATAGGTTTTGTGGCAACATCTACAACCAGACTGCTTAGAGACCTGGGAATTAAGGGCCAGAGCCAGCGTTCGGCAATCAGAGCTGTATCGGAGGCGGCAGAAGGCAGCAGTCAGTGGCTCTGGATGAAGAGGAAAGACCCCAGCTGGGCCCCGAAGTGAGAGGGCCAGGATGTATGCAGTCAACAATGCTTGACTCAGGGAGGAGGACGCCCCTGCCATGCATAGTCCCATGGGATGTTGGCTATCAACAACAAGGCAACTCCTATGACTAATTGGGAATGGGACGCAAGCGTAGGATTGATCACCCTGTCGCTGGCCGCCTTCGGGGAGGGTGTATAGTGTGAAAGTTCGAAACACCCTAGGAACCAAAGGTACACTACTGACGATGCGCTCCCCAAATTTCACCAGGCTCACTGTTCATGAACTCTTGGAAGTGCTTGCACAAAGGATAGTAACATCTCATCCTGTGTTCTTGGAAACTGCTCCCCACGACCATTTATAAGTGTTTATGTTTAGAGCATAACACACGAGTGTAAATAACTACAGTATTACTAGTGTTACAGTGGTTAGTGCTGTAACAGGATTAAATAAATTTGCGACAGAATGAATGATAAATTATGTTAATGCAGAAGCAAGCCAATCAGCATCAAGGTGCGGCTGAAGATGGGCTTTTTGATCCCAAAAATAGTTTCAGAAATCATGTGACAGGAATAAATTAAACGATAAAAAAATGTTATATTCAATATCACATCTTGATCCATCATCGATCACACAGACCAACATACTAAACATTTCATAGCTTAAGCACTGGTTGATCGATGCTTGATTGGTGCTTGCTCGATTAGAGCTAAATCGGTGCTTGATCGGACCTCGATAGGTGCTCAATCCATGCTCGATTGGAACTCGAGCCGTGTTCGATCGGAATTCGATCTGTGCTCGATCCGTGCTCAATCTGTGCTCCATCATGCTCCATGCTTGATCCGATTGAGCAAAGATCGAACACAGATTGAGCACCGATCACGCACAGTTCAAGCACCAATCCAGCATGGATCGAGCACGGATCGAGCACAGATTGAGCACCAATCGAGCACGGATCGAGCACAGATTGAGCACCGATCGAGCGCAGATCGAGCTCGAATTGAGCATGGAATTGAGCTCTTATCGAGCTCTGATCAAGCACGAATCGAGCTCTTATCGAGCTTGGATGGAGCACGAGATCGAGCACCGATTGTGCACGGATCGAGCTCTGATCGAGCATTGTTCGAGCACTGATTAAGCATGGATCGAGCAGGGATTGAGCTAAGATCGAGCTCGCATCTAGCACCAGTCGAGCACAGATCGAACACCGATAGAACACCGGTCAAGCTTCAATCGAGCATGAATAGAGCACGGATCGAAGCATGAATATTATTTCTCATTCATTCTGTGGCAGATTCATTTCATCCTGTTACGATACCACACAGAGCGCTCACAGTGCGCCCCACCTCTTCTCATCTCGCAATGCTGAGCAGGTGTTGCGCCTGGGTAGGACTCGCATGGGCGGCCACCTCCGTGCGCAGCAGGTGCTGTAGGCTGTGGGGCTACATGGCGGACAGCAGATGGAAGTGCAGACAAAACAAAACACTGTGACCGGCGTGGTGAAGTATGGTCAAATATCCCCCACGACCCTGACAGTGTAGGGAGGCCTTCATCGAGCAGCAGATTGACAAAGTGCTGTTACATGTTATAACAAAGATAGCTACGCGTTATAGTGTCATGTATAATAATGCTTATTATGACTTGATCTATCGTAATGTACGTGCATGTTAGTGCACGAGTGATATTGTTATAGGTGTGCTGTTCTTACATGGGTACTGTGATTATCGTTAATGCAGACGGACGCTCACCGACTCTGGAACCAAACTCGGCCCACAACAACCTCCAGATTTCCTCGCTTCACAGGACGGTGACACTGACCGCTGTCTCCCAGGGTCGCCCCGATCACCCACACCGCTTTGATTACTGGTTCCAAGCCCTGTGCTCCGAGAGCTTCTCGTCGGGTCAGCACTACTGGGAGGTGGACGTGGGGGGTGCGTCAAGGAGCTGTGAAGTTGGAGTCACATACGGGACGATCGCACGGAAAGGGAGAAGTAAAGAATGCTGGCTGGGAAGGAACCACTCATCCTGGGTTTTATATAAAGATAACAACAGCTGCTACGTGCGTCATTGTGGTGTCTGGACCTCAGTGCCGGTGAGGGATCCTCCCCAGAGAGTCGGGTGTCATCTGCACTGGGAGGCGGGGCTGCTGTCGTTTTACCGCGCCGACTCCATGGAGCTGTTGCACTCCGTCCACCACTCGTTTAGTCAACCGCTCTACCCCGCACTGCGTTTGTGGAATGACGGTGACTCAGTGAGGATTCTGGATCTGAGTTGTGCGTCCTGAGAGCACGGAGTGTGAGCAGCGCAGAGAAACGGGCACAACGCACAGACTCATGCACACAAAGACACAGATCCCCCGTGTAGCCTTAACAGACTGTTGGGAAAAGTTCTGGCAGCGAGCACCTATGAAGGCCGGCACGGCACTCGAGGGAGATGATCGCCAACACTACGCCCGGCCGTCTTTGTCTCCCCAGGGGTGACGTTTACACGCTCCACCAGGAACTCATATGAGGCTGAGTCCAACTAGGGGAGGCCCTTGACCAGTTTGCAAACACCATTGATAGCGATTATCTGAATCGGTCTTGGGTCTCCCCTAGGTCGACTCAGCCTTAAATGAGTTCCTGGTGTGGTGTGTAAACATCGCCACTGAGGAGGCAAAGGCGGGTCGGGCGTGGTGTTGGCCACCAAACCCCTCGTGTGCCGTGATGGTCGCTAACAACACTTGCCCTAACAGTCTGTTAAGGCTACACGGGGTTGCTTTGTCTTTAGTGTATAGAGAGCCATGTGCGTAGTGTGGGGTGGAGCGGTGGTGCAGTGGTTAGCGCACTGGTGGGGGAGGGCGGGGGGAGCCAAGGTTCTCTCTGTCGTCATCGTCCCTCGCACCGCGCGCCGCGTGGCGCTCAACGCCGAGAGGGCGGCGCTCCATCGCGGGCGTGCTGGGAACACGCGTCACGTGACGCTACGGGGTGACACGCGCCGTCTCCTCGTGGTCACTCGCGCGTTGGTCGATAAACCCGCGGTGGGAATGGGATGGCATCACTAGGGGGGGACTACTCGTGGTGTGTGCCGAGCGTTGCTGGGCTAAAACATTTTTGTTATAACCATTGGTCGAGTGACTCCCTCCTCCTACCAAACCAAACTAGTTTTATTTTACAGGGCATAGAGAGTGAGAAGCCACACCTTGTAGTGGGAGGAGGTATTTTGCCACCAATATTATTTATAATAAAAGTTTGTTTTGATAAATATTTTAATTATCTGCTTTGACTTTGAAGTGGGTTAAAGTAATTAAGTGCCTGATATATCTCTAGAGTAAAGATGTACCTTATATTACAACACGACTAATTTTGTCGCAACACACACACAGTGTGTATTATTACAGGGAGAGAAACACCACAAGCTCCAAATATACAGCAGCTGTCAGGGTCGTAATCCAACCCACAACCTTCTCCATACCAGGCGAGGGAATTAACATCTCCTAACCACCACTGGCATTGGTTTGACTTGTTTTGCTTTTTTTTTCATTTTTGTGACCCATGTAACTATTGTAAATGAGACTCATCCTGATCTCCTGAGTGCTCATCTCGTTCAACTCATATTTAACTCGACTCGATCATCATCAGCAGTATTAGCAGAAATATCATCAGCAGCAGAATTAGTAACAACAGCAGGATCAACAGCATCCATCGTTAGCATGATAATCAGTATCAGAAGTAGGACCAGCATCAATCATAATAAAATCATTATCAGCAGTAATAGAATAATCAATAACATCAGCAGCAGCATCATTGCTAGTATCATCAATATCATCAGGAGTAGGACCAGCAGCATTAATAAAAATATAATTAGTAGCAGTAACAGAATCGTCAGTAGCAGCAGAAGCAGCAGCAGCATCATCACCCTTGCAACCGACACTCATCCTGGTATCTTGAGTTCTCACCTGGTTAAACAAATCGAATTTAACACGGAGGCTTTCGCGACCAATATTATCAATAGTAAAGGTTTCGTGGGTTCCATCGCGTAAATATAAAAAGGCTTGATTATGTTCTGGGTTACCTGTGAATTGGAATCACATTGTATTGTGGGTCAAGGGTCATTGTATTCTGGGTGAATAAAAAAATCTGAAAACAAATCTTGAACATTCTCATCCAGGCTGTGAATGTGTCCCATGTGGAAATGTATAGCAGTAGCATAATACTCTAAACGCGTGATGTTGATTCTAAATGTGGAGGGAAAAACCGACAACGGGGAGAGAGAGACACCCAAACTCTTAATATGCAGCAGGCGTCAGGGTCGGGATCGAATCCACGACCTCCTGCAGACCGGGCAAGGGAGTTAACATCTAATCACTCCAAATAAAAAGTTAAAATCTACATCTTACACGGTTTACGTTTATATACAATGTAAAACACATTGATATAGAGCCAAGAACAGAGGCAAGACATCGCACCCACGAACATCAGACGGCAGTCAAACGCACGCATGCGCGGTGCACACTGCCGCTTCATATGGGACGTTCTCTCGCTGTCACAAAATAACTCAAAAATAACACTGCTTGGGGCTTAAAGGTAACATATAATAAACGACGTTTCAGGCAATGGACCTACTTTATAGGACATAATTGAGGGATAAAGCAGGAGGGCTATTCTGAATGAGTGCTTGTGTGTTTGGGTTTTTACTCTGATGATCGTTGCTTGAGTGAATGTGAGGGTTTGGAATTGGTTCCCACGCACGAGTTTTTCTCTGTGTGCACGTGGCAGAGTTTAGCGGATCAAGAGTTAATTAATTAATTAACAACTCCAGCTTCTATAGCGCCGGAGCATGGCAAGACGTTCTCAAATCACCGAAATGATTTGACGATGCTGCGTTTGGCAGTGGTGCACAAATAGCAAAAAAATGTTTTTATCTCAACACATTTGTAGAGTTGCTCTACCTCTTCCCTGGGCTCGCGATGTGCTGTGAAGAGGGGTCATTGCTCGAAACCTCGCTTGTTATATACATTTACCTTTTAAGGCCACACAGTGTCATGAATAAACGTGAGTTTTCTTCATTGTAAAAAATAGCTGTGAATTTCAGTGTCTCCCTGTGTCGATGACAGTGTAACTCGCCACTGAGTAGCGATGCGAGTGTGTGATCAAATTTATGAATGAGTGGTAAATGTGTCTGTATTTGTATCGATATGAGAGATAGTGTAACTCACACCAATGAGTAGCTATGTGAGTGTGTGTATATATTTATGAATGGGTTGTAAATGCGTCTGTATTTGTATCTAAATGAGAGTGTAACACACACCACTGAGTAGCTATGCGAGTGTGTGCTTATATTTACTCGCTGGGGGTTCCCGTTACCCGGTGTTGTATGTGTTGATATTATGAAATTTTGATAAAAATAATAAAAATAAATAATTTTCCGAAAAATGCGCAAATCGCATTAATTATGTTAATGTGTGTATTACTATGCATAAATTATGATAGTGCATGTAATTATATGCATAAATTATGATAATCACGGAGATAATCGTAGTAATTTATGCGGAGGCTTGTGATTATGTTAATGTGTGCAGTTATGATAATTTGCTTAGTTTCGTTTATCCAGAGTTATCAATCAGGATAACACGATTATCATAGATTCATTTACCGATTATCCTAGTGTGTGTTATAATATTTTAGGTCTCCATTTTCATATCTCATCGCAGGTAACAGCTCTTATGAATAAGACAGTTTTGCATGGACTTGGAAGGAACACTCGATATGCTTCTGTGATAACAATTTTATTCTAACAAACACGTGGCATTCTATCATGCAGGTCAAACATGCGTCAATAATTCATTTGCGAGACTATGCATTTAACTAAATTGAATAACCAAACTCTTATGCATTTGCGATATTATGCCTTCGACTAATATGAATAACTAAAACTCTTATGCATTTGCGAGACTATGCATTTGACTAAAATGAATGAATAAACACTTATGCATTTGCGAGACTATGCATTTAACTAAATTGAATAACTCAAAACTCTTATGCATTTGCGAGATTAGGCATTAACTAATATGAATGAATAAACACTTATGCATTTGACTAAAATGAATGAATAAACACTTATGCATTTGCGAGACTATGCATTTGACTAAAATGAATGAATAGACCTTATGCACTTAACGAACTGAATGACTAAAAACACTTATATCAATTGTAACCTCTACTTTTCCTACCAGGCATCTCATTAGTTCGCCCATGTATCGATCACAATCGGCGACTGGCCGATTTTGAAAACAAGCATGACACACTTCCTATGGCGGTAATATAGCACTTATTATACCCAAGAGGCGAAAGTATATGTCAATAGATTTATCGGCAAGTATAAAAATCCTCTTAACGGAATGGTTGATATAATGGTGGGTGAGGGCGTGTGTGCGCGGGAGCGAATCTGCCTCTGTTTTAATCAATTCTTCGGCGAGACTCTGGGACAAAGGAAACTGGTTTGACAAGATATTCTCTCTCTGTGTTCGGTCGATTCGTAATGAGGATTTCGAGAGGTTGAGTTTGCCTCGACGAGTCTATTGATCGCCTATGTGATAAGCGGAACAAGGGAAAGGCACGGTAAACAACCTCACTCTTATCACCGACGGACTCTTAATCACTCGATGGGCCACGATTCCTCGTGGCCAGCTGATGGTTCATGTAGTTGATAATCAGTCTTCCGATAATTGTGTAGGGTTGATATGATGGTAGGGACGAAATGGATAGTCTCAAAGGGGGTTGGGCGTCGACGCGAGCGCGTGTGAGCCTACGTGAGGGAAGTTGTGGGTACGAACGACTTTCGGAGAAGGGTCCCCTGGCTGTCGCGCTGCGGTGATCGGCTGCTTCAGACTCCTCCCTCGTTGAGCCCGTACGAAGATTGACGGCGCGGCTGCGCTCGTTTGCGTGGTCGGGCGAGCACGTGCGTGGTGGCGGCAAGGGAGCTGGCTCGTTCACTCGTGTGCGGCAGGCGAGCACCTCGGCGATGCACGTCAAGGCAACGCACGTCGCCACTCCACGAGCCTCGTCCTTCTGGATGACAGGAGCTTCTTCGTTGGCGGCGACGAGGAGAGATGGCTGTCGCCCTGGAGAACTCTGGTGGGGCCTTAGCCCGGAGACGAGATGAGATGTAGGCCGGAGCTCGTGAAGATCTGTGGTGGAGCCGAAGCCCTGGCGACGATATGGGGCTCGTGGCCCGGACGATCTTCCTTGGATGGATTTTCCTTCGGTTTATATTGGAAAATTCCACTTGGCTTCCCGAGTTGTT